CAGTCACCATTTGCCAGAAATTATCATCTTAAGCAAGGAATACCAATTTCAGGTTTAGATATATGATTTAAGATTTAAGAAGCTTCGTTCAAGTTGTCTGATTTTAAAGAGATAGAAGAAAAACTCAGTAGTTGCTTACAAAACGAAATTTTTTGTTTACACCTCAACAATAAAACCCATTATCACGCTTTACACGAGGCAATGATGAAGCTTGCTCATTTTAAAAACTATAACTGTACACGGAATAAACCTTTAGAAACGATTGATGAAGTCAAGTGTATGATATCAGCTGTAGAAGTCAAACTTGATTGAAGGAAACCCGTGATTTAAGGTAAAAACGCATTACACTCCTACTTGCTTTTCATCAAAAAGAAAAAAAAATTAATTTTCAACAGAAATAAATATTTCTACGCTTTTCTGGATGCACCAGGTCAGGTCTTTGTTACTCATTTAATCTGAGAGGAAGAAAGTCATTGAATGTGCTGAGGAATCAATAATGAAAATCTTTGCCAGTATTAAATAAAATATTTTCTGACTCCCGCATGAAGTTATTGTTCTAAGAATTTGTCTTTGTCTTGATTCATGTAACGCGTTGACTTCTTTATTTTGACAAGAATGAAACTGAATAAGGTCTCTGAAAGCATCAGTTATATGAATACTGAAAAGAACCAAAATGTTATTGAGTGTTTAGTTCATCTGAAGGCGTAAACATCACACCGCATAATAGTTGTTTTCAGTTTTCTCAAGGAGGAGATTTAATATTTCACTTTTACAAAGCTATTGGTTACCATCACGTAGAATGCCTTTTGTTCTCTGGACATTTTATTGCAGGTTATTTCCAGTTTTCACTATCACGCCATCATCAAAGCCATTCAACAAATAAAGTAAAGAATTAAAGAGATAAAAGAAGATGAACATTCAAATGGTCATCGAATAGATTCAGGTCTGTGCAGATATTAGAAGAAATGTTTTTTTTTTAAATCTATAACGCTTTGCATGGAGACACCATGTTTGCTTTCCTCTGGGGGGGCACAAATGTGGCGGCCGGAGGAGGACAAAAATATATGTCACCGAGTTTTGCTCATAAATAGCTATTTGAGTACCTACTCTGATACAAGGATTGCTCAGAATGCGAAATCTCAGCGGATAAGTCACTGTTTTAACCTACGTGACATCATTCTCGGCCGCCATTTTAGTATCGTGTCACGCAAAAGCTTAGAAATTCAACCGTGCTTTATCACACGACGAAACTTAAAATTTGCAAAGAGATAAGTCTTTAGCTGTTCTAACGACTAACCAAACTAGATTCTCAAAAAGATTGATAATTTCCTTTTTTTTAATTTGGATGACGTCACGTGAAAACCAAGATTAGGTCTGCCATACCGCGTCTTGTACTTCGCAAACGCTGACAAGGAGCCTCGTTGATTGGTTGCCATGAACACACAACGATGCTCATAATCGTGATTAAGTTGGCAAAATGTACGCTTTGCGCTACTAGTATTTTATTCTTTTTGAAAATCGCACCTAATGTACAACCTTTCAACACCATTTGCGCTTTTCTATCCGGCGACATTTATTCCTAATTATTTTTGCAGTCTTCAGACGAAGTATTAATTTAAACAGTGTTCGGGGAGTTCAAGAAAGCAATTCCTCTAGAAAAGATTCATTATCCTGTATTTTGTTTTTTAACTTAGCAAAATTGATAGACATGCACATGATCTTGGTAAGGTGGAATGAAAATAAGAGTTCCTTGTGAGTCACCATGCATGACTGTTTTTTAGGGTGATCTTTAGTAGGTTCCATTTTGACTACTTGGGACTCTATATGAACTACCGCAAAAAAATGTTATCATACAGCAGAAACCACGAATATGAAAAAAAAATTTAGGCCCTTTTTTCCTGGACTTAAAGTGCACCTAGACCCAAAAAGTTTTTTTCGCTTAACGAAATAAGCTTATTTTTTGGAGTATTTCTGTGCAAACATTTTTTTATTTGCTCAAATCTTCAATTGTCTGTGCCCAGTCAAAATACGGAAAATCGGCCGCCATCTTGCCCCACGGCCGAGTTTAAAGAGGAATGGCTCTAGCAGGTAATGTGACGTCAAATCGAGAACACGCTTGTTTGGGAAGGTTGTAGTCGATTTTGTCCGAAAATATGCCGACAAAGTGTGTTGTAGGAGGATGTAGCAACGTGCGAAATTTGCAAGAGGGTATCACGCTTCATACATTCCTCATACAACACACCTGGTCGGCATATTTCGGACAATATCGACCACAACCTTCCCAAACAAGTGAAAATGTGTGAAAAGCAGACTTTCGTGTTCTCGATTTGACGTCACATTATCCGCTAGAGCCATTCCTCTTTAAACTCGGTCGTGGGGCAAGATGGCGGCTGATTTTCCGTATTTTGACTAGGTACAGAAAATTTAAGATTTAAGCATTTAAAAAATTTTTGCACAGAAATACTCCAAAAAATAAGCTTATTTCGTTAAGCGAAAAAAATTTTTGGGTTTAGGTGCACTTTAAATTGATGTGTAACTAGGGTGATTTCGAATTACCGATCTTGCAATTATCATTTCTTCTTCTTCTTCTCATTTCTACTCCTTCCTGGCGCGATATACAAGGTTTGACACAGGTCATTAACAGATATGACACAACTTCTACTATATTTTCTCCTCGCTCCTCGCATCACCATCAGTGACATTCGTGAGGGATGGGGAGGGGGAAACATGGAAAATACTGAGCGCTTTCTTTTAAGATAAAATAACGATTAAAGAGCTTATGCCAGACTAGAAGGCGCCATTTTGAAAATGCGCCTGCCTTGCTTTTATCTAACGGAAAAATGATTATGCCCAGAAAAGGTACGCATTGTAATAAGTTTTTATAGAATTACCGTAAGATTAGAAAAAACTTCAGGCAGGTGCAATTTTAAATGCAGAACTTTCAGAAGATAAATTCCCATTAGGCAATTTGTCCGTTTCAATTAAGTTTACTGGCCAATCCAATTCAAAGGAATAGAAAAATCAAGAAAAAATAAGCACGTAGCTCCTTTGTAAGTAAGCTTCATTTAAAGAGATTTGTAAAATATATCGAAATTATCCGTTAGTCTCTGCAAACATTGTTTTGAATTGGAACTGAAGAAACAGAAGTACAGAATTACAAGCTTAACTGTTACCGCTGTATTTTCAGCAATGAAGTGTTATCAGAAAATTCTCCTACCAAACCAATATTTCTTATTCGGGGGAAATGAACTGTTGGCATCGAAACTTTTCATATATATTGGAACCGACGCTGACACTTAATTTTCCAACTGGGACAGGTGAAAGCGTTCAATGGTTTGCAACCACTAAATGCGCATCACGTCTACGAGATAATTGTAATTACTTTAGCTATATATAGAAACTGGCAACAGTTCCTTCCGCTTGAGTAAAAGCTATTAAAAGCGATATTACAGTAAAACATGGCTGGTGCACTCCTCGGCAGCTTTATGCTTTTTGCGCAGTTCCTTTTTGGTTATGCAAGAGAGACAAAGTTTTGCCGCGAATCCCGTGGGGTGACGCATTACAACGAAGTTTTAACAGGGCATACCTACAAATCAATACTTACAAGCGGGATTTTTGGTTGTGGGCATGTGTGTCTGGCCGATCCACGGTGCACATCTTATAATTGTCAAACCTCAGCGGTTGGACGAGGCATCTGTGAGCTGAATGACGGTGAATTTAGCAGCAAAAGACATTTGGTGAAGAAACAAAGCTTTGTCTTCGTTCAGGTGAAATGGAAACGGGTGAGTTATCTTCGGTCGGTTTTCTGATTGCGGCTTACGTATGCTAAAATTACATATTCGGATTGCCGAAAGGTATCAGAAAATACTCAACCATCATGTAGTTCTGTACTGGCTTAAGAGGTGGGTCCTGCACGCGTTAGACGCATATCAAGAAGTAGACATAACGCATCACGAAAACGCGTTTAACACATATCGCGAAAGGCAAAAAATTCACAAATCACGGGGTTTTAATTTCATGTTACACAAGTCCCGAATATTAAAACACTATCTCGCATCATGCGAATAAGGTGGGTCAGCACTAATTGCGAAATGAATTAACAGCTTGTCTCCTAAAGCAGCTGGTCGAAAACAAATGTCATTTTTGCCCTTAATTTCGGTTTTTCAGTGTACTCTTGGCTACTTAGACTAATTTCCTCGTCAAGTTAAAGAGGATTTATAAGTTAGCCGACTAACAAAAAACGCTCGCTTGGGGAATTAAGGATTTCCTCTGGTCAGAATAAAATTCACATAAAAACATTAGGCGTTATACGCATGAAACCTAAAATTTTGTGGTAATGAAAGATAGAGGCGATAGTAGGTTCAAGTTACATTTTACTAATAAAACGAAGAGCGTTAAATTAAGGTCCATGTAAAAAACAGGAGATAATAACTTGAAGTTCTCGGTATACATGTTTAGGATAGCTCTGGAATAGAATGGCTCAATGTAATGAAACATTGTTCATGTCTAACACGTTTCTTAAGTACGACTACCATGTATTCAACTTCTTGAGGATCGATAACTATTTATCGCCGGGGGGAGGGGTTAGAGGGGCTCGGTAGTGTCACGATTGAATCTACCTGATCCCCCCATAAGGCTCTCAAATATTCTTATGACCCTCCCTTCGGCGGCTAGTTTGCAGTCACTTTTCCATACTTCCCCCTTCATACTGCGTTGGTAACAATTGATCTCCCTCCATTCCCCTTGAAAACTATGTGATCCCCCAATAAAAATTCTCCCCCAATCCCCCTCTTCCGGCCATAAAAAAAGACTAGTTTCATACATTTTGCACTTGACGATTTCTCCAGAGACCCAAAAGCTGCTGGGAGGCCTGGAAACAAGGGGCAAGAACATCAGGATATTACATTATTCAGGGAAGAGCAGAGTGTCTCTTTTACGAAATGTACTGCGACTTCAGTTCAGAACCCGGTTGGGCTTGGACTCTAATTATGTCACAGAGCATGAGCAGAAAGAACGAAGCTTTTGCAAAGGAACCATTCTTAAAAGGAACTTTTAAAAACCAGCGTTATCCAAGTTGGGAAAACTACAGAATTGGTATGCGTCGAATGTGGATTGTGCGAGCACAGTCCAGCCATTGGCGAGTCACATGTGATTTCCCATCTTATGGAGTGGATTATAGAGATTACGTCAAGGTCACTTTTCAAAAACTGAATCCGATGAAGTACCATGTCAGTGGGGGATGCCGGCAAGTGGAGTACATCAACATCCGGGGTCATAACTGTTCAAAATGCACAGCTGGCTGGTGGCAGACTGAAACTCAATTTCTGACGCACTTAAGTGATAAGGATGCCTGCCAGTTTGGCAAGACCTTCGGTTTCCTTGACAACGAGGCCAACTTTGGTGGCTATTGGGGGAACAATGTTAGCACTGAGTTTCGATGTTCATCCATGATGACTTCCACCACCAATCATTGGTTTGGATGTAAGGTATAGGCGAAAATGGAAACATTCATCACGTAAGGATGGAAATAAAGAAATTTGTCATGAGCGTTTGCCATTCGCTGCACGACGCTTTTTACTTCTGTTGTGAAGTAAGATTCTTGTTATTTTGTTGATTCATGTAGTTTTCCAATGGTATTCATTCATTGTTATATTTCGTTCACACTGAGAATCTAATGACCTAGACCGTGCACTTGCTTGTCAATAAACGCGGTCATCTTTAGAGGTTGCATCGCAAGTGGCTATTATGTTTTGGAGAACTTCCTCCGTAACTCAAATATCGAGACTAGTGGCATGATTTGTTTCGTCTGAATTAGAAGCTCTTATGCCGTAGAATATTAGATGAAGCAGCTGTCTTAGGGACGTTCTATCCTGTATATATATAGTTTATTTTGCCTTGTTACCAATCGAGAGTTAGGCCTAGGTTATTGCTAGTTTTCACTGTCACACAATCATCAAAACCATTGACAAATAAAGTCAAGAATCAAAGATATAAAATATAATATGAATATCCAAACAGCCTTGCAAAGATCCAAGTCTGTGCAATGTTTTGCGCGAGAGATATTCGAAGAAATGTTTTCCTCAACTTTATAAGGTTTTGTATGAAGACGCCATGTTGGTGTCCCTTAGGGGGACACCAACATGGCGGCCGGTAGCTAACGAATACATACGACATCGATTCTTGTTATAAAAAGCATGAAGTCTTCTTCTGAGGGCTCAAAACATCTCTATGAATACTGATTCTCATACAAGGACTGTCCAGATTGCGAAATCTCCGCAGATAAGTCACTTTTTTTCACCTATGTGACAGCCTGTTAATATCGTGTCACACAAAAGCTTAGAAATTCAATCTTGCTTTATCACAAGACGAAAGACCCAATCAAACTGAAAATCTGTACAAAGATAAGTCTTCAGCTCTTCTGTTAACTAACTAAACTAAAATCTCATAAGGATTGATAATTCCTTATTTTTAGTTTTGATGAGGGCACGTGAAAACCAGCAATAGCTTCAGTCGTCTTTCGAAGAAACGACTAATTAAGGAAGGAAACGTGAAAGGCCAAGTAATTCCTTTCGTCAACCATACCGTGCGTTCATTTTCCTGGGAACTAAAAAGCATCTTTACAGGGAAAAATATGGCAATAACCTCTGTAATTCACCAGTGAGTTAACTCTGTCGGTGTAAGCAAAACTTTGTTTGCAGGTTTACTCACGGCAAGATTCAGGCCACATCATCTAAATTATGATATATACGCTTGTCTATAACAATTTCGTGTACTCCACTTATATATGTATTTTTTTCGCTGCTGTTGTTGTTGATTATTTTGTTGATTGTTGTTACTTAATAGAGAAGAGCACGCTGGCAGCACTGTTCAATAAAATGTCAATATTGCCGCAGGAAGTTTTGAAAGGGCAGGAGGAAGGGAGGGGAAATGGTCCAAAGTTTGATTCAGAAAATGTAAATTTTATCAACCGGATCCAGAGTCTAACTCAGCCAGGAAATACTTCAAGACTGGTAACTTTTAAACACTGAGTAGAAACATGCGATCCCGTCGTTGCT